GCCCTGAGAAATAAGGATACCCAGCCCTCCACGTGGAGAAATCTGACCAGTTCCTCAGGGTGGGGGTGCCCCAAGACTTCACCTGGTAAATGGCTTCGTCGCAAGCGTTCTGCAGGCCCAGGTTCACCATGGTGTTCTGGAGGGTACGGCCCATGTAGAACTCCAGGGACAGGTAGTAGATGCGCTGGGGAGGCAAAGCAAGACGCTGACGGGCAGCACGGCACTGGGCTTTCACCCAAGCGGCTTCAAATCAAGAGCAGCCCCCCAAGTGCTTTCCAGAGACGGGGACATCTTTCCCAAACCCTTGGCTCCCCAACACCAGGCCGGGCGGTTTTGTTTGTCAGGAGGCTCTGGCGCGGGACGCCGGCCAACCCTCCGCGGCGCCGTCCCCCTGCCAACAGCCTTCTATAGAAAAAAAACTCGCTGCCTCTTAAGTGTTTCCCTAATTAACCCGGGGCAAGAATTATCTAGGATCCTGAATGGTATATTTATACACCATCAGGCTGGGTGGAGGAGATGCTTAATGCCGGGCTTTTAAATATTCCCCCCACCCCTCCCCAGGCCCCCCACAAGCCGGCCCCATCCTGCTAAGTGATTTTCCAGCCCGGGTTCTCCTGTTTTCCCCGCGCAGGCATCATCGCCCCGTTGAAGAGAACAACTGTCCCAGGGGTGACAGGGTTCCCGGCACAACTGTGCTCCACGGTGACCTTCCAAGTTTCCAGAGGGAGCCCGTGCCTGTGTGGAGAATGCTAATGGCAGCCCGTGTGGAGGAGGAGGAGGAGGAGGAGCAGGCTCCGCAAACTTTTGCCCTCGCTCCAGATTTATCGCTCCAGATATTTTTTTTTTTATAAATAAACGGTTTTTTTTTTTTATTTATTTTTTTTTTTTTTAAGGGAGCAACAGCCCGGCTTTAAATCACGCTGCCCCTTGAATCTCTCTCCTTCGTGGCTGGGATGTCTCCCCGCCAGCCTCGGGACACGCTAAGCAGTGGGATTACCCGCTCTGCCCCCTCCGCTGGGAGGCTGAAAGGGTCCGTCCGCTCCCTGGGGCTCCTCAGAAAGACTGAAAAACATCCCATGGTGTCAGAAATACTCTGCTCCCTCCAGTCTTCCACGGGGACGGGCTTCTACTGAAAAATCTAAGCACGGGGGAAAGTAACCAGACCCATTCCAAAGGGCCCCGGTGGCCCTTACGGGATCCGTACAATCCCTTCCGTTAGCGCAGCCCCGCGGATCAGAGCGCATTTGTGTGAGGACGGATAAAAGGGAGAAGAGAGCCCCGTGTTAACTCCCAGCGTGGGGGCAGCCATCCCGGGGCGAAAGTGTAGTTCGCTTCGTGTGTCAAGGCAATATTCATAACCCCGAGAAAAGAGCTGACTCGGGAGGGCAGCTGCCTGCACGCTGGCAAGGTGTGTGCCTTTTCCAGTACACACCTGCCCTCTGGGGCTGTCCAGCTAAGTGCTCGAGTGAGTCTTAATTCAAAAGGATTAGGGCTAAGTAATGTCCTGCAGCCCCCAACACCTCCCAGCATCGCCCTCCTGACTCGACAAACGGGGAGGAGAGGAGGGAGCGAGCCCTCACTCTGGTCCAGAAGGTACAAGAGCCTCCGAGTCCCCCAGGAATCACCAGCTCCCTGGGGTTTGGTGACCTGGGAGAGCTCGTCGGGTTTGTACGGGGCAAAAAAAACCTCCTCTCCAGCCTCAAAGCCGAGCTGCCTGCAGGCTCCGCAGGAGAGGAGCCAGGACATGGCTGTGCTGGGGCATGTGCCGAGACGTGGAGGTGATGATGCCTGCGAGGGACACCACCGCAGTGGCGTGAGGGCAGGACGTGGCCATGGTATGACTCGACAAACGGGGAGGAGAGGAGGGAGCGAGCCCTCACTCTGGTCCAGAAGGTACAAGAGCCTCCGAGTCCCCCAGGAATCACCAGCTCCCTGGGGTTTGGTGACCTGGGAGAGCTCGTCGGGTTTGTACGGGGCAAAAAAAACCTCCTCTCCAGCCTCAAAGCCGAGCTGCCTGCAGGCTCCGCAGGAGAGGAGCCAGGACATGGCTGTGCTGGGGCCCTGGGGTTTGGTGACCTGGGAGAGCTCGTCGGGTTTGTACGGGGCAAAAAAAACCTCCTCTCCAGCCTCAAAGCCGAGCTGCCTGCAGGCTCCGCAGGAGAGGAGCCAGGACATGGCTGTGCTGGGGCATGTGCCGAGACGTGGAGGTGATGATGCCCGGGAGGGACACCACCGCAGTGGCGTGAGTGCAGGACGTGGCCGTGGTGAAGCGTGCAGAGGAGCTGGCAGCAGCAAGGCCCGTGTGAGGACACGCTCACAGGAGGACCAGAGGCGCTGCGACGAGGTGCAGAGGGTCCCAGTCTTGGGGATGCCGGGGGCAGGGGGGGACACATGGCTGCAGCATGGGACAGGGCCACAAAGAAGCTTGTGGGGATACAGCCATGGCAAGCTACATGAGGAACATGGCGATGCCCACGGGGACACAGCCGTGGCAAGATGTGTGCAAGGGACGTGACTGGGGTAGGGCCCATGGGGACGGTGTGTGCAAGGGACATGGCCATGGTGATGCCCACAGGGACATGGCCACCGTGAGGTGCAGAGAGGGACAGAGCCGTGGCAATGCCCATGAGGACGCAGCCCCAGCAAAATGCATGAGAGGGATATGGCCACGGCCACGGGGATGAAGCCACGGTAAGGTGCACAAGGCACAAGGCCACAGCTGTGGTGATGCCCAAAGGGACGTGGCCATGATGAGGTGCACGTGAGGCACGTGACCATGGGGACGCCCACGGGGACGAAGACACGATGAGCTGCATGAGGGACACAGCCGTGGCTGTGGTGATGCCCAAGGGGACATGGCCATGGCTGTGGTGATGCCCAAGGGGACACAGCCGTGGCCGTGGTGATGCCCAAGGGGATATGGCCGTGGCCGTGGTGATGCCCAAGGGGATGTGGCCTTGGCGAGGTGCATGAGGGACGTGGCCTCGGCTGTGGTGATGCCTAAGGGGACACGGCCATGGCTGTGGTAATACCCAAGGGGATGTGGCCATGGCGGGGTGCATGAGGGACACAGCCGTGGCGAGGGGCCACAGCTGTGGTGGACACAGCCATAGTGAGATGCACATGGCCGTGGCCGTGGTGATGCCCAAGGGGATGTGGCCTTGGCGAGGTGCATGAGGGACGTGGCCATGGCTGTGGTGATGCCTAAGGGGACACGGCCATGGCTGTGGTAATACCCAAGGGGATGTGGCCATGGCGAGGTGCATGAGGGACACAGCCATGGCGAGGGGCCACAGCTGTGGTGGACACAGCCATGGCGAGAGGCATGGCCGTGGGGATGCCCCACGGGCCACGTCCAAAGTGACACCCGCTGAGGGGAGGGGGGACACGGAGACACCCGCGAGGCGAGGGGCCACAGCTGTGGTGGACACAGCCATAGTGAGATGCACGGCCGTGGGGATGCCCCACGGGCCACGTCCGCAGTGACACCCGCTGAGGGGGGACACGGAGACACCCGCAGGGCCCTCGGGGAAGGCCCCCTGTCCCCATCCCCGTTCCCCCGGGGCCCAGCTCTGGCTTGGCCTGGGCGGGGGGGGGAATGATGTCTCACCTTGGGGTCCTTCTCGTAGTAGTGCTGCTGGGTGCGGATCCATCGCCCCACCAGGTGGTCCCGCACGGTGTGGGCCAGGGCGAAGTAGTAGTCGCGGGGGGTGGCGACGTTGCGGTCCTTGACCAGGGTGAAGTGGAGGTGGCGGTTGAAGCTCTTGCGCACCTCCGCCACGTCCCCCAGCCCCGCGATCCCCCGCACGCTGATCTGCTTCCGACGCTCCCCATCGCTCAGAGGCGCCGCCATCCCGCCGCCGCCGCCTCCACCACCCCACCGGCTCCTCCGGCACCGGCTCCTCCGGCTCCGGCTCCTCCGCCGCCTCCCCTGGCTCTGCCAGGGGATGGGGATGGTGTGAGGGGACAGGGATGGTGTGAGGGGACGGGGATGGTGTGAGGGGACAGGGATGGTGTGAGGGGACGGGGATGGTGTGAGGGGAGAGGGATGGTGTGAGGGGATGGGGATAGCACAGGGGGTTGGGATGGTTTGTGGGGACAGGGATGGTGTCTGGGGCTGTGACGGTGTGAGGGGATGGGAGTGACGTGAGGGGAGAGGGGTGGCGTGGGTGCCTGGGATGATTTGGGGGGGATGGGGATGGCATGGGGGGACAGGGATGGTTTGAGGGGACAGGGGTGGCATCAGGGGACAGGGATGGTGTGAGGGGACAGGGATGGTTTGAGGGGACAGGGGTGGCATGGGGGGACAGGGATGGTTGAGGGAATGTGGGGAGTGAGGAACTGTAGAGACGCGCTGCGGAGCAAGAGCTCGGCAGGTGTTCTTGCAGTGATGGGAAGGAAGCCTTGAGAACAGTAAGACGATGTCTTTATATGGCAGTATTTGTGTGGTATGAAATCTAGTGAGGAAAATAACAGATAATAATGTTTGGATAACACAGGGGCACGAACACTTCTATGTAGCCAATTGTATTGCTTATAACGGCGTGTGGACAGGCCCCACGACCTATCTGTGTAGAGAGCTCAGTGCGTGGTAAGAAGAGAGAAACTATATATGCTGTAAAAATAAAACATTAAACGTCTTCGCTTCATTACTTGGCGGAGTCTGTGCCCTTATTTGCCACAAGGGGATGGGGATGGTGTGAGGGGACAGGGATGGTATAAAGGGGACAGGGATGGTGTGTAGGGACCCAGATGGTGTGTGGGGATGGATGGGGATAGCACAGGGGCCTGGGACGGAGTGTGGGGACGGGGATGGTTTGTGGGGACAAGGGTGGCATGTGGGGCCGTGACAGTGTGAGGGGGTGGGAATGGCTTGAGGCGACAGGGATGGTGTGGGGGACTGACAGCATGAGGGGACAGGGATGGCATCAGAACACATCATTTCTCAACCCACCCACCCTGCAGGCTCTGGCGCTAAAAGCCACACCAGTGCCAGTGCATTTTTGTTTTAAATTGGGGTTTTATTGTCAGCACAGCGGGGTTCAAGTGTCCCCTGTAGGCTCAGCTGCAGAGGCAGCAGCCATGCAGCACCACATGCCACTGTGCCACCTCTCGCTGCCCTGGGGAAGGGGACCAGGCTGTGGCCACCAACCCACAAGTCGCGGCACGCACCACTGGCTCTTTTGCATCCCCCAAAAGACCACTGGGGTCCTCTCTAAACATCCACACAAATACATCATGATTCCACACGTAGATTACAAACAGTGCAGCATGTCCTCTCCAGCTCCCACTGCCCCCGAGATCCCTTCCAAGCCGGCGGACAGGACTCTGCTGGAGTGGTGCATAGCAGCTACCCGGCCACGGCTCGCTGTGACCACAATACATTCATTTTTCAAAGTGAGATGCGTCTGCAGGAAGCCGGCACCCAAACCAACCACCTAAATCCATCCATCCCGAGCCCTGCATCCACCTTGCCAGGGCACAAACGCCTGTGAGGTCCAAACGAGCCGCGTCGGGGGTTTATTTTTGTGCCCCTGCCTCGTTCATCGATCTTAGCCCAATCCATCAGAGCTGTCAAACCCATCGTCAGCCCTCTACCCAACTCCCAGGCCTTTCTCCTCCAAATCTGGCAAATCTGACGTCATCTTCCACCACCCATGTCTCCCAACGGCCAGGGAACCAACATCAGGGTGTAAGCTTTAACCCTACGGGGCGTAGGGGGCCCCAATTCCTGCCTCCGAGTCCGTATCCAGTTTCTGGAGAGCCCCCGAGCTTTGCAGAAATCAGGGCTGAGGCTTCCACTGGGCATTTCGACGCTGCTGCCTCACACACGCACACAAAGTTCACCTTCAAACACGGAAGTAGTAAAATAAAACTCGTCACGGGCAAAAAATGCTGACAAACAGGAAAAAAAACCACCCTGAGGTCAGGACGGTAAAGAGTTCCTTTCTGGAGTGACCATTTCCTACAGCGACTTCGGCACAGCACAAGCTCACAGTATGGGCACATTCCGAAAAAAAAAAAGGTGTGTTTTTCTCATAGAGATCATAGATGTCCTGCAGGCTCCTGGTTTTCCTTCAACGATGATCAAACTTCACATCAAGCCAACTGCAGATGCCGTCAAATCAAGGCTTCCTCTATAGAGGCTGCCCTCTGCACTGTAAAAAAGAGCTAGTGATGGAGGGGACTCGGCAGAGGGTGGGAGGCAAGGGGCCAAAAGCAGGCCCTTCAACAGATTCTCCCACGTTGGGCTTCCAAAAACCAATATTCCCCAAAGTTACCTTCAAGGAGCTTCAGTACTGCAGTCTGTTGAGCGAGTCGATGTAATGAAAAGTGGCTCCCAACGCCCAGCTCGTTTCCACATTGTTAATTTTCCGGGCAAGCTGTGTGTGTGTGTGGGGGGGGAAACAAAAAAGTTAAAACACAATTCTTTGGGAGAAGGAGAAACCCACGAGGTGAATACAGTGCTGAAGGTTATCACAACTAGTTATCACCACCGTGGGGACAGTGTCCCCCTCCAGTCACAGAGCAAGAAGGCAAATCAAGGACCGAGCTACTGGCGATGACAACTGCAGCCTCAGCACCCTCCCTCCCGCCCGCTCTCCCCAGCCATCCATTCTGTGCCTCACCTTAAAGACCTGGCTCTTGGGGAAGCCCAGCTCTTGCAGGAGGAAGGTGATGTATGTGAGGTCCATGCAGAGAAAAGGGCTGCTTCCGGGGCTGATTTCCATGGTCTTACACACTAAGGAGAGAGAAAACAGTGCCTGAGTGCGCGCTGCGGGCTCAGGCCCAGCATCAGCCCAGCTTCGAAGAACCTCACGTGGTTTTTTGAACAGGAATCCATCAAACACCTTGTCAGCTGAGTTGTGCAGTGGTGGAACCTGTTACAACGGAGTTGAAATCACACACACACACACTCAAACACCTTGTCAGCTGAGTTGTGCAGTGGTGGAACCTGTTGAAATCACACACACACACATGTTAGCAGAAGCAGAAAAGCTTTGGCACGCTGGAAGGAAGATCAAGGCGTTATGTCGCTCCCGAGACAGCTGAGTTTCTTGTAATTCTCCAGGAAAGGATGAAAAGGGCCTCCTCCAACTTTTCTTCCTTCTATCTACTTCAAGCCTTTAAAAATTCGAGCAACCTCAGGCGTCTTTCTGTTTCTCAAGCATAAGCACTCAACAGACGTTGACAAAACCAAAGGGGAAAAAAAACCCCAACAAATCCAAAAGAAAAGACAAACAAAATAAATCCCGCTTCCTTTCTGAGGATGAACTACCCAAATGGTAGTCCAGAAATCAGGACTGCAACAATCGTTCATTCATTCATAAAGTTGACTGAGAAGCCCCGTGTCATTTCAATCAAAGCCTGAGTTTGTGATGTTAAGAAAAGCCTGTTTACATTTGTAAATCTGCACAGGCAGTTCTCTGTGCGGCCGATGAAGCGAAAAGCTACGAACCGGTTTTCCCTCTTTGCTGATTAACAATCAAGCACATGAACAAATCCTGAGACAAAAAAAACACAAAAAATAAACCCGACTAGAACAGGTTATTCTAACAGGGTGAGAACCCCCCCATCGACTTGGAAAGCATGATTTCAGGACAACTGTTAACTGGCAAGTTTATTAGTAATTCTTGAGAGAGTTTTGAAATATAAGTGTTATAAGATGTGTCTTAACATGGGCTGCAAAAGCAAGAATCAATACAAAAAATAGTTGAGATTTTCAGAAATAAGTAGAACTATTGGTGAGATGCTATGGAGAGAGGTGCTCTGGAGTGGTGCTCAGTAACTTAAAACAAAAAAAAACTTTACTTAAAACAAAAAAAATCAGGCTTCTTAGCATGGCACACATTTGCCACCTGGGTCTGAATTTACACAAAATTACTGGTGTGTGTTCGATTGGATTTTACTCACCGTATTTAGCTGCGATTTCAAAGTCACCAACAGTTAAGCTTCCTCCTTTTTCTTTGTCTGAAAGCAAAAAAAGAAAAAAAACCAAGTGTTCTTTTATGTTTTTTGTATAAAGGCAATTGTAACTTCAAGTCTTAAAAGCTGTTTGGAAATCAAACCTCGAGCCACTGAAATCAGTGATAAAAGTCACACTTGCTTTAAAGGTGAACGAGCAACGAACCTTTAAAAGAGTCTTAATATAGATTGAAAAGTGGTGTTTTATGAAGAACTTTTAGCCTCGTTTCCTAGAGAAACATAATTGTACAGATTCTTCCACCTTGTCCCCACGTCTGTGCTGCCCTGCCCTGTGATGCCTGAACGCAGTTAACGCCTTTGACCAGGTCTGACAGGGCAGCGGTGCTCTGATTTATTTGATTTCATTAAATTTGAAATTATTCAGAAAGCAAAGTGGCTGAGGAGGGAGGGTATGTTTGTCCCAACTAGCCTGAGATCTCCTCACCGGCCTAAAAAAGGTCGGTGAAGGAAAACGCACCACCCAAGAAATTTGTTTATTGTTATGAGGCCTTTTTTTTTTCTATTTTGGATTGCAGAGTTAATCAGACACCAACGATTTCTGAACTGCGGGCAGTTTGTTTAAAAAACATTACCAGAAGCTGCAGTCCCTTCTCTACAGAAATTAAACAGCATCCAATACCTACTTGAGACCAACGCTGTGCAGCAGTGGAACAAAGGGCTAAATTTCCCCGCAGCTTAGCAAAGCAGCCTGACGTGTACAAGTGTTGTATTTCTTCCACAACTTGTGGTTTAGAATGAAATAAAGCAGGAGCAAACGTACCTATGAGACCAACCTCTGCCGCACGGTCGTAGTAGTAGGAGAAAGTGTAAAAATCCAAGTCCTTCACTTCCTCAGCTTTATGGACTTTTTTGTACAGCATCTTTGCCACTTTGTTAGAACAGGACTCATACAGAGGCTCACCTAAAAGAAGGCAAAGAAACCCAGAGAATTAAATATACACACCATTTACCTAGGAGCTGGCAGGAAACAGGCTCCCTTTTGCACAACAGCACTTTATAAGCTCTTCACAGACAACTAAAAGTTGCATCTTCCAGTGGCAAGACTCAACCACCCTGAGGTTGGGACGAAGAATGCGATAGATCAGAGATGGACACCACCACCCGAGGCAGAAGGATTTTGCAAGACCTGTTTGGGGATTGCCCAGCTCCACCTGTGTTACTACCAGCTTTACTGACTGGACAGACGGACACCACGGCACAAGAGGGAAGAGCTGCAGAATCTCTTCAACGGCACGGCAGGAGGAGCCAGACAGAACAGTAAACAGAGACTCCAGCGTCTCTCTGCAAGATCATTTAACTCTGCTAATGGCATGCTGGCCTAGATAGGAAGAGTGATAAATCACTATACCTGCCTTCTGTCCTTTAATTTTGTACACTATCTCTGCATGTTGCCATTCAGATTTGAAGCCAGGTGGTAAACAAGGGCTGACCAATTCCTCCCCTTCTCCTACTGCAGAAGTAAACCAAAGCCACATTAGGGAAAAGCACAAGGAGTTAATTGCAGATCCCTCACCGCCCCCCAGCCCTGCTCCATCCTGTCCCACAGCCCCAGAGAGGCACCTCCAAGCCCCGGTCATGGCTCAGATGTCCCCTGCCCCACCAGGGCTGGCAAGAATGCAGGCCTCCTGGGATCTAGCAGTGTCACCTCCCGCATTCATCTCAAATGCACCCAGCTATGGTGACAGGAGTCCACATACCACTCAGGAGCCCAGTGGGAAGGGGACAGATGACTCCTCCCCCCACAACAGGGCCTACGTACCCTACGCTCAGAGCCAAGGCTTGAGGAGCGGCCATAACTTACAGGGTTTTCCCTCAACTCCTCCTAAAATGGCGAGCCTTGCTGACATCAGCCCGAGTCCCAGGTAACTGCAAAGGGATAAAAGCCTCCGTGAACAACAAACATCCTTCCCCTGATACTCCCACCGACAACTCGGCCGGGGACACGCCAAATCTCCTCGACGTGGTCCCAGCGAAACGGCTGGTGTCAGCAGCTGACACACGTCAGGGGAACAGTGTGACAACCCACTCTCACGTCACCCTTACCCAGAAGGACAATCTGTCTTTGAAAAAGCACAGGCAATAGCTGCCAAGGGTAACCTGGCTCTTGAAGAACCGGGAACGCGGAAGGCATTCCCCTAACGTTTCCTCTACCCTCCTCAAAAGGGGATGGTGTGAGGGGACAGGGATGGTGTGAGGGGACGGGGATGGTGTGAGGGGACAGGGATGGTGTGAGGGGACGGGGATGGTGTGAGGGGAGAGGGATGGTGTGAGGGGATGGGGATAGCACAGGGGGTTGGGATGGTTTGTGGGGACAGGGATGGTGTCTGGGGCTGTGACGGTGTGAGGGGATGGGAGTGACGTGAGGGGAGAGGGGTGGCGTGGGTGCCTGGGATGATTTGGGGGGGATGGGGATGGCATGGGGGGACAGGGATGGTTTGAGGGGACAGGGGTGGCATCAGGGGACAGGGATGGTGTGAGGGGACAGGGATGGTTTGAGGGGACAGGGGTGGCATGGGGGGACAGGGATGGTTGAGGGAATGTGGGGAGTGAGGAACTGTAGAGACGCGCTGCGGAGCAAGAGCTCGGCAGGTGTTCTTGCAGTGATGGGAAGGAAGCCTTGAGAACAGTAAGACGATGTCTTTATATGGCAGTATTTGTGTGGTATGAAATCTAGTGAGGAAAATAACAGATAATAATGTTTGGATAACACAGGGGCACGAACACTTCTATGTAGCCAATTGTATTGCTTATAACGGCGTGTGGACAGGCCCCACGACCTATCTGTGTAGAGAGCTCAGTGCGTGGTAAGAAGAGAGAAACTATATATGCTGTAAAAATAAAACATTAAACGTCTTCGCTTCATTACTTGGCGGAGTCTGTGCCCTTATTTGCCACAAGGGGATGGGGATGGTGTGAGGGGACAGGGATGGTATAAAGGGGACAGGGATGGTGTGTAGGGACCCAGATGGTGTGTGGGGATGGATGGGGATAGCACAGGGGCCTGGGACGGAGTGTGGGGACGGGGATGGTTTGTGGGGACAAGGGTGGCATGTGGGGCCGTGACAGTGTGAGGGGGTGGGAATGGCTTGAGGCGACAGGGATGGTGTGGGGGACTGACAGCATGAGGGGACAGGGATGGCATCAGAACACATCATTTCTCAACCCACCCACCCTGCAGGCTCTGGCGCTAAAAGCCACACCAGTGCCAGTGCATTTTTGTTTTAAATTGGGGTTTTATTGTCAGCACAGCGGGGTTCAAGTGTCCCCTGTAGGCTCAGCTGCAGAGGCAGCAGCCACGCAGCACCACATGCCACTGTGCCACCTCTCGCTGCCCTGGGGAAGGGGACCAGGCTGTGGCCACCAACCCACAAGTCGCGGCACGCACCACTGGCTCTTTTGCATCCCCCAAAAGACCACTGGGGTCCTCTCTAAACATCCACACAAATACATCATGATTCCACACGTAGATTACAAACAGTGCAGCATGTCCTCTCCAGCTCCCACTGCCCCCGAGATCCCTTCCAAGCCGGCGGACAGGACTCTGCTGGAGTGGTGCATAGCAGCTACCCGGCCACGGCTCGCTGTGACCACAATACATTCATTTTTCAAAGTGAGATGCGTCTGCAGGAAGCCGGCACCCAAACCAACCACCTAAATCCATCCATCCCGAGCCCTGCATCCACCTTGCCAGGGCACAAACGCCTGTGAGGTCCAAACGAGCCGCGTCGGGGGTTTATTTTTGTGCCCCTGCCTCGTTCATCGATCTTAGCCCAATCCATCAGAGCTGTCAAACCCATCGTCAGCCCTCTACCCAACTCCCAGGCCTTTCTCCTCCAAATCTGGCAAATCTGACGTCATCTTCCACCACCCATGTCTCCCAACGGCCAGGGAACCAACATCAGGGTGTAAGCTTTAACCCTACGGGGCGTAGGGGGCCCCAATTCCTGCCTCCGAGTCCGTATCCAGTTTCTGGAGAGCCCCCGAGCTTTGCAGAAATCAGGGCTGAGGCTTCCACTGGGCATTTCGACGCTGCTGCCTCACACACGCACACAAAGTTCACCTTCAAACACGGAAGTAGTAAAATAAAACTCGTCACGGGCAAAAAATGCTGACAAACAGGAAAAAAAACCACCCTGAGGTCAGGACGGTAAAGAGTTCCTTTCTGGAGTGACCATTTCCTACAGCGACTTCGGCACAGCACAAGCTCACAGTATGGGCACATTCCGAAAAAAAAAAAGGTGTGTTTTTCTCATAGAGATCATAGATGTCCTGCAGGCTCCTGGTTTTCCTTCAACGATGATCAAACTTCACATCAAGCCAACTGCAGATGCCGTCAAATCAAGGCTTCCTCTTTAGAGGCTGCCCTCTGCACTGTAAAAAAGAGCTAGTGATGGAGGGGACTCGGCAGAGGGTGGGAGGCAAGGGGCCAAAAGCAGGCCCTTCAACAGATTCTCCCACGTTGGGCTTCCAAAAACCAATATTCCCCAAAGTTACCTTCAAGGAGCTTCAGTACTGCAGTCTGTTGAGCGAGTCGATGTAATGAAAAGTGGCTCCCAACGCCCAGCTCGTTTCCACATTGTTAATTTTCCGGGCAAGCTGTGTGTGTGTGTGGGGGGGGAAACAAAAAAGTTAAAACACAATTCTTTGGGAGAAGGAGAAACCCACGAGGTGAATACAGTGCTGAAGGTTATCACAACTAGTTATCACCACCGTGGGGACAGTGTCCCCCTCCAGTCACAGAGCAAGAAGGCAAATCAAGGACCGAGCTACTGGCGATGACAACTGCAGCCTCAGCACCCTCCCTCCCGCCCGCTCTCCCCAGCCATCCATTCTGTGCCTCACCTTAAAGACCTGGCTCTTGGGGAAGCCCAGCTCTTGCAGGAGGAAGGTGATGTATGTGAGGTCCATGCAGAGAAAAGGGCTGCTTCCGGGGCTGATTTCCATGGTCTTACACACTAAGGAGAGAGAAAACAGTGCCTGAGTGCGCGCTGCGGGCTCAGGCCCAGCATCAGCCCAGCTTCGAAGAACCTCACGTGGTTTTTTGAACAGGAATCCATCAAACACCTTGTCAGCTGAGTTGAAAACATTAAGAACCTGTTACAACGGAGTTGAAATCACACACACACACATGTTAGCAGAAGCAGAAAAGCTTTGGCACGCTGGAAGGAAGATCAAGGCGTTATGTCGCTCCCGAGACAGCTGAGTTTCTTGTAATTCTCCAGGAAAGGATGAAAAGGGCCTCCTCCAACTTTTCTTCCTTCTATCTACTTCAAGCCTTTAAAAATTCGAGCAACCTCAGGCGTCTTTCTGTTTCTCAAGCATAAGCACTCAACAGACGTTGACAAAACCAAAGGGGAAAAAAAACCCCAACAAATCCAAAAGAAAAGACAAACAAAATAAATCCCGCTTCCTTTCTGAGGATGAACTACCCAAATGGTAGTCCAGAAATCAGGACTGCAACAATCGTTCATTCATTCATAAAGTTGACCGAGAAGCCCCGTGTCATTTCAATCAAAGCCTGAGTTTGTGATGTTAAGAAAAGCCTGTTTACATTTGTAAATCTGCACAGGCAGTTCTCTGTGCGGCCGATGAAGCGAAAAGCTACGAACCGGTTTTCCCTCTTTGCTGATTAACAATCAAGCACATGAACAAATCCTGAGACAAAAAAAACACAAAAAATAAACCCGACTAGAACAGGTTATTCTAACAGGGTGAGAACCCCCCCATCGACTTGGAAAGCATGATTTCAGGACAACTGTTAACTGGCAAGTTTATTAGTAATTCTTGAGAGAGTTTTGAAATATAAGTGTTATAAGATGTGTCTTAACATGGGCTGCAAAAGCAAGAATCAATACAAAAAATAGTTGAGATTTTCAGAAATAAGTAGAACTATTGGTGAGATGCTATGGAGAGAGGTGCTCTGGAGTGGTGCTCAGTAACTTAAAACAAAAAAAACTACTTAAAACAAAAAAAATCAGGCTTCTTAGCATGGCACACATTTGCCACCTGGGTCTGAATTTACACAAAATTACTGGTGTGTGTTCGATTGGATTTTACTCACCGTATTTAGCTGCGATTTCAAAGTCACCAACAGTTAAGCTTCCTCCTTTTTCTTTGTCTGAAAGCAAAAAAAGAAAAAAAACCAAGTGTTCTTTTATGTTTTTTGTATAAAGGCAATTGTAACTTCAAGTCTTAAAAGCTGTTTGGAAATCAAACCTCGAGCCACTGAAATCAGTGATAAAAGTCACACTTGCTTTAAAGGTGAACGAGCAACGAACCTTTAAAAGAGTCTTAATATAGATTGAAAAGTGGTGTTTTATGAAGAACTTTTAGCCTCGTTTCCTAGAGAAACATAATTGTACAGATTCTTCCACCTTGTCCCCACGTCTGTGCTGCCCTGCCCTGTGATGCCTGAACGCAGTTAACGCCTTTGACCAGGTCTGACAGGGCAGCGGTGCTCTGATTTATTTGATTTCATTAAATTTGAAATTATTCAGAAAGCAAAGTGGCTGAGGAGGGAGGGTATGTTTGTCCCAACTAGCCTGAGATCTCCTCACCGGCCTAAAAAAGGTCGGTGAAGGAAAACGCACCACCCAAGAAATTTGTTTATTGTTATGAGGCCTTTTTTTTTTCTATTTTGGATTGCAGAGTTAATCAGACACCAACGATTTCTGAACTGCGGGCAGTTTGTTTAAAAAACATTACCAGAAGCTGCAGTCCCTTCTCTACAGAAATTAAACAGCATCCAATACCTACTTGAGACCAACGCTGTGCAGCAGTGGAACAAAGGGCTAAATTTCCCCGCAGCTTAGCAAAGCAGCCTGACGTGTACAAGTGTTGTATTTCTTCCACAACTTGTGGTTTAGAATGAAATAAAGCAGGAGCAAACGTACCTATGAGACCAACCTCTGCCGCACGGTCGTAGTAGTAGGAGAAAGTGTAAAAATCCAAGTCCTTCACTTCCTCAGCTTTATGGACTTTTTTGTACAGCATCTTTGCCACTTTGTTAGAACAGGACTCATACAGAGGCTCACCTAAAAGAAGGCAAAGAAACCCAGAGAATTAAATATACACACCATTTACCTAGGAGCTGGCAGGAAACAGGCTCCCTTTTGCACAACAGCACTTTATAAGCTCTTCACAGACAACTAAAAGTTGCATCTTCCAGTGGCAAGACTCAACCACCCTGAGGTTGGGACGAAGAATGCGATAGATCAGAGATGGACACCACCACCCGAGGCAGAAGGATTTTGCAAGACCTGTTTGGGGATTGCCCAGCTCCACCTGTGTTACTACCAGCTTTACTGACTGGACAGACGGACACCACGGCACAAGAGGGAAGAGCTGCAGAATCTCTTCAACGGCACGGCAGGAGGAGCCAGACAGAACAGTAAACAGAGACTCCAGCGTCTCTGCAAGATCATTTAACTCTGCTAATGGCATGCTGGCCTAGATAGGAAGAGTGATAAATCACTATACCTGCCTTCTGTCCTTTAATTTTGTACACTATCTCTGCATGTTGCCATTCAGATTTGAAGCCAGGTGGTAAACAAGGGCTGACCAATTCCTCCCCTTCTCCTACTGCAGAAGTAAACCAAAGCCACATTAGGGAAAAGCACAAGGAGTTAATTGCAGATCCCTCACCGCCCCCCAGCCCTGCTCCATCCTGTCCCCCAGCCCCAGAGAGGCACCTCCAAGCCCCGGTCATGGCTCAGATGTCCCCTGCCCCACCAGGGCTGGCAAGAATGCAGGCCTCCTGGGATCTAGCAGTGTCACCTCCCGCATTCATCTCAAATGCACCCAGCTATGGTGACAGGAGTCCACATACCACTCAGGAGCCCAGTGGGAAGGGGACAGATGACTCCTCCCCCCACAACAGGGCCTACGTACCCTACGCTCAGAGCCAAGGCTTGAGGAGCGGCCATAACTTACAGGGTTTTCCCTCAACTCCTCCTAAAATGGCGAGCCTTGCTGACATCAGCCCGAGTCCCAGGTAACTGCAAAGGGATAAAAGCCTCCGTGAACAACAAACATCCTTCCTCTGATACTCCCCACTGACAACTCGGCCGGGGACACGCCAAATCTCCTCGACGTGGTCCCAGCGAAACGGCTGGTGTCAGCAGCTGACGCACGTCAGGGGAACAGTGTGACAACCCACTCTCACGTCACCCTTACCCAGAAGGACAATCTGTCTTTGAAAAAGCACAGGCAATAGCTGCCAAGGGTAACCTGGCTCTTGAAGAACCGGGAACGCGGAAGGCATTCCCCTAACGTTTCCTCTACCCTCCTCAAAAGGCAGCACAGCCTCTAGCATACAGAATTGGGCTCTTTTTGAGGCAAACCTGGGAGGGAAGAAGCTGCTTTCCTCTGTGCCAAAACTCTGGGAGCCAGGGAAGACAGCGAGGAGGAAGGAATGGCAGAGACAGAGTGCCATGAACTGCCTGACTGCAACCCTCGTTCACCCTCCTGCGCCGCTCGGCAGTGAGGAGGTAGAAGAGCTGGGACTGAAGCTGAGGCTGGGAAGGAGGGAGAGGTGGTGGGGAAGGCATTTTTTTTTTATTTTGTTCTTATTTCTCATTATCCTACTGTTTAATTGGCAAAAAAATTAAATTAAATTCTCTAAGTCGAGTCTCTTTTGCTTATGACAGCATCTGGTAAGTGACCTCCCTGTCCTTACCTTGACCCATGAGCTTTTTGTAGTATTTTCTTCCCCCTGTTGATGGAAGGGGGGTGACAGAGTGGCTTGTTGGGCACCTGGCAGGGTTAATCCACCACGATGATGCTGCTCAGGTTTCTCTGCTTCTTCCCAGTATTCATTTGCAAGGGCCCCATTTCGGCAGAACACCTAGATCCTGCTCTATCTCTACAGTGTGCTCTCTTTCTCACAACTAACCTGTATGAATACAGCTTGTAGGTGTTGTTGAACATCTGAAATGAAGTTGTATGGCCAGCTGGTGATGTCTGGAGAGTTGCCTGGAGGGAGGAAAAAGATGTCACTGCAAGGTTTCTGCCAGCAGCAGCAAACATCAACAACAGAATCCTCCCAAATATTAGGGAAAACACGAAGCAATCCTAGCATGGTTCAGAGAGAAATGATGAATTTGCAAGTATTTCAATCTGACCGCTGATACACAAGACAACCACCAAACGCAGAGCTAAAATAGTGTCCAAACTGGTTATATTTCTATTTGTATCCACAACAAATTGGTGTATAAAAGAATTATTTTAATGAAAAAGGAATCCTTACTCCAGCTCTTAACTGCTTTTGTCAAGAGGCTACAGCGACTGCCTCTTCACACGATCCCTACTGGGGAAAAAAATGTGTGCAAAGTAATAGGAAAGCCAGGCACGCATTCACTTCCCACTCAAGTGAATTCAGCTGCAAACTTCCACAAGCCAGAGGAAAAGCACACCAGGGTGCTTGCCAAGGAACTGCACGAGGAAATGAAAGGGTCATTCTCTAAAGCACTTTGCAGCTTCTTCCCCTGGCGCACCAGCACGGCGTTTGTGGGGAGCAAAGCTCAGGCCACCACGCTATTCATGCTGCTTCTATCTTAACACCATCTCTAAGACCAGAATTTCCACATCCTGGGCTCTTCACATCCCCTGTCATTCTGCTGCAAGAAGACAACGTCTTGATTAGCCCGGGTTGGGATGCAACATGCAGCATCCCAACCCCCTGCTTTACTATGAACAGTATCTCTGCTCAGGCCAGAGCCTTACAACTCCACGTCCACAGGGCTCCCAGCTCACAGGGCACCTATAAAAATGCCATGAAAGGAAGCTGAAATCACAGAATCATGGAATTGTTGGAGTTGGAAGGGACCTTCTAGGGATCATCCAGTCCAACTCCCCTGCCAAAGCAGGGTTGCCCAGAGCACAGCACTCAGGATGGCATCCAGGTGGCTCTTGAAGATCTCCAGAGAAGGGGACTCCACACCCTCCCTGGGCAGCCTCTGCCAGGGCTCTGCCACCCTCACCCCAAAGAAGTTCCTTCTCAGATTTGAGTGGAACTTCAAAATGACAAACATCAGCTTGTATTTTTACTGCACAATAACAGTTGCTCCTTAGAAAGCATTCATTTGCAACTGAGTGAACTCAGGAAAACAAGAAACAAGGACTGAGAAGGCAATCTGTGTTCTTAAAACCCAATACAGGCCAAATGTTGGACTCGAATTAATTAACAGCATTGCCTTTGAGTTCTTCATTCAAAGCAGCACAAACTAAAGGTCAAGGATTAAGATGCTCAGGCAAACACTGCGTTTTCCCCGAGAATAAAACAGCCCTGGCAGATTCACCACACGCACCACCAACCCATGGTGGATTGACAGAGAGTTTTGAATGCCTCCGTGACTGACTGTAACAAGGCAGATGTTACCAAGTGGCCTGGGTTTTTCTGTCAGAAGCGTGGCTTCACCTCACGCTGACAAACTCCTGGGCTGTTTCCAAGGGAACCAAATCTGAGGATTTCTGTGCCAGCACGTCCCAACAGCCTGCACGTTCACGTTACCTCGGTGCGGGGCAGGAAGGTGATCTGTGTTGATCCACCACCCAAATCCAGCATCCCTACACTTCTCTTCTGCGGATCATCTAGGCTACCTGGAAATGTGTGACAGCAGAGAGAAAGCCACGGTGGGCGCTGTGAGAAACTGGCTAGGAACAAAACCAGAAGTACAGTGGTAAAGAAAAAGAACAGTCTAACTCCATCCGTCAGCTTCCAGCCGGCACTAAATTATACCATCATCTACTGGGCACTTATTTTGGCTTTATCAGGGTGACCTGAAAATCTTCAAGTGACAGTTTCTCTTATTTCTCTGGTGGCTGTTCACGCCCTAATTAGAGTGGCTTTGGTTACTGGATTCCTAAACATTTTTCAGTGGATGCAAAGACCCTTTTGCAAACTCTACTCTGGTAACCACTTTGTAACAGGGAGGAATGTGGTTTTCTTGGCCACCTCTTCTTGATCCCTTAGTGATATTTTACAGATTCCTATGGCCAAGGGGATGACAGACTGAAAAGAGCTGGCCTAAGAGACTCTGCTCTCTTTGAATTCTTCCTGCTGCCAGCCCCGACCGTTCTTCTCATTTAAATCCAGTTCTTCTTTAAACCTTTCAAATACACCTTCCTGACAAAACTAGTTCGGGCCAGCTACCTCGGTACACCTCACGACAGCTGATGTTTGAAGATCTCTGACCTTTCTGATATTTCCTGGCAGCATAAAAGGCTTTAGAGCACTAATTGTACTGCACCACACACTGTGTGTGCTGAACAGAGCACTCAGGCAGCAGGCTGCTTGACTTACTGTCAAGCTCAGTTTTCACTTCGCTCTTCAGCCCCCCTTTTCTAACTCAGCAGCATCAACACTTGTGGTATTTCTGTATCATAAATCCGTAAGGAAGCAGCACAGCACTTTCTTTCACTCTGTGCAGCCGCCAAGCACATCTAGAATACCCACATTAAAAATTTAGCCAGAGCTAATGGCAGACTCTAAAAAGGAATAAAATGCTCTGGTGCCCTACAGGGAATTGAAAGAAAGGCTACATTAAACATCTAGGAAAGGGGATTAAACTCCTCACTCTGTCAAGTAAACGGCCAAAACCCTAATGACTTAAATAGGCCAGGCCAAAAACAACTGCTGACTTATTCCCAGATCCTCCTTTCTCCCACTCCACCCCAACGAATGAGCAAATCCCACGCAGGAGCAGAAAACAGCATGAATTTCACAGCACTGGTCGTATCTTTATGCACATGCTTGTGTACACATACCTGTTAAAAAATTTATCGTGATCCAGGCTGAAATACCTAATAAGAAAAAAAGTTCAGAAGACGCAGTGTTAGATCCTACCATTTCACTTTGTCTAACAACGGTAACAAACAAGGTAACAAATAAGGTGAGTCATCTTACAAGGTTTTCCTGCTTCAGGATCTATTTAGCTGGAGGCAATTTAAAGTTAAACAAAGAGAACGACCTTCCATACCACAGCTTATGCAATATTTTGGGGAGAAATGCCCATTTCATATATGAAATGCCTGGAGAACTCTGTATTTCTCAGATCAAAAACTGAGGCGAGAAGTCACAAAGGCTCCAGAGCTCAGCTAAAGGACAAGGAAATGACCGACACTCACATTGTTCATTTTCTAGGAAAACATCCGCTGGTCGGGCTTTTGTGTAATGTCAGGCACTTGAGCTTTCCTTTTAAATACTAAGAATTTTCACCTTTTCAGTGTTCTGATTTTTCCTATTTTCCTCTAAACATTTTTCTGAGCCGCACTGTTTCTCTCCCTTTCTTGCTTTATAAACCTTTTCTCCATAAATTAGATGAATTAGCAGTCCTGATGTTAACAAATTCAAATATTTATCTATGGGGTTAAAACTCAAGGCATGCTAGGGAACACGGTCCGGTTCAACCCTTGGCTGAACCAAGGCTGTCACTGCTACTAACAATTTTAAAACAAAACAAAAAGAAGAATTACAGTGTCTTTCTTCCATTAAGCAGTAAAAAAGAAACTCATAAACAGCTCCAAACAGCTCCAGCTATTTTAAAGCTTGGTTTCTAAGCAGACTTAAAACACATCTCAACACTCAGTTACTTAGCATTTATAGAATCATAGAATCATAGAATGGTTTGGGTTGGAAGGGACATTAAAGATCATGGAGTTCCAACCCCCTGCCCTGGGCAGGGACACCTCCCACCAGACCAGGTTGCTCCAAGCCCCATCCAGCCTGGCCTTGAACCCCTCCAGGGATGGGGCAGCCACAGCTTCTCTGGGCAACCTCTTCCAGTGTCTCACCACCCTCACAGCAAAGAATTTCTTCCTAAGACCTAATCTAAATCTATGTTTCTTCAAATTATTTCAAATCCAGACTGACTCTCAGCATTTTTTGATGAGCATCAACTTATTTCAGCCTGTATTTTCTTCTCTGTATAACTTTTTTTTTGGAGATTGAATTCACAGTCACACTCAAATTAGATCAGTTAGAATTAACATTATAACCAAATACTTCCAGAAATCTCTGGGCAAGAGCAGGCTGTGCAAAACCAGCTGTCGAAGACCATCTCAACAAGCAGATATTCAGAAACATTTCCCCAAGTGCTGACTGCACGGCGGCTTCCCGGTGATCCCACAGGAACTGCCCAGCACTCAAGAGCTTTGAAAATCAGGACAGAGTTCAGGAGCAGCCCTGAGGAAAGGGACTTGGGGGTGCTGGTGGACGAGAAGCTGAACATGAGCAGGCAGTGTGCAGCTGCAGCCCAGAAGGCCAATCCCATCCTGGGCTGCCTGCTCTGGTGAGACCTCACCTGGAGTATTGTGTGCAGGTCTGGAGCCCTCAATACAAGAAGGACATGGACCTGATGGAGAGGGTCCAGAGGAGGGCCACAAGGATGATCAAGGGGATGGAGCACCTCTGCTACAAGGACAGGCTGAAGGAACTGGGGTTGTTCAGCCTGGAGAAGAGGAGGCTCCGGGGTGACCTAATAGCAGCCTTCCAGTACCTGAAGGGAGCCTACAGGAAGGCTGGGGAGAGCCTGTTTAGAAAGGCCTGTAGTGACAGGACGAGGGGAAATGGCTTCAAGCTGGAGGGGAACAGATTTAGATTGGAGATTAGAAGGGGGTTCTTTACTGTGAGGGTGGTGGAGCACTGGAACAGGTTGCCCAGGGAGGTGGTTGAGGCCCCTTCCCTGGAGATATTCAAGGAGAGGCTCGACGAGGCCCTGGGCAACCTGGTCTAGTTGGGGGTGTCCCTGCTGACTGCGAGGAGGTCGGACTAGATGACCCTTGGAGGTCCCTTCCGGCCTGGGAAATTCTATGATTCTATGATTCTATGAGTTCAAAGCGGAAAAGGCAGCACAACGATCTCTCTGGCGGGCACTGCCTGAGGCGGCGTAAAACCCCTGCGAAACCCGTGGCTTGTGGGTTTCCACTACAGTGAGTGGGGACTTGTGACAGCACAGCAGGAACCTCCAGGACTGCAGAAAGGGTCTCCCCAAGTCCCCAAGTTATCCTACCTTCATCGGTTCCGTTCATGATCGACACGCAGTCATCCCTCACAAAGAAGGGGGAAGCCTGAAAAATCTCCTTCACCTGTAGTTCAAATAAAAGCTATGCTCAGAGAAATCTTTTTTTTTTTTTTTAGCTGGAAAGCAAGTTGTTTTTTTTTTTAAAAAACTTCAGTTTTACACAACTGCTCTTCTTCTTGGGCCAGATCCTGACTGCTGCTCACCGCTTTGTTTGAAGTTCAAGAGCCCAACAAGCATCAGCCTGTGCTCTGCTAGAAAAGGGCAGCGATTTACACACTGGCTCTGCTGTTTGGTGCAGAGACAGGGGATGGACGTGTGGGTTTTCAAGCCCGAGGACTGCTCAGAAATGCCATTAACAAGGGATGGACATGGGTAGGGAAGGGAACCCTGTTTACTTTGCTCCAACTGGTGAGGCACAGGGAGAGGCAGGAGATAAACACCCTGGCTTCCAGCAATGCCCCAGGGAATGGCATTTTTACCAGGAGCACGTTGGCTGTTAGAAGCCCTCTACGCTACATCCCACATGAAGTAGCAAAGCCCTAGGTTTCCAGAGCCCTCTAAAGTAACAACTGCAGCAGTTCCAGCTGAAATTCAGCATGGAAAAGAACAGGCCGAAGTGCAGGCAGCAGAGAACAATACAGACATGGGTTTCAACCACACCACATTTCTTCCTTCCAATTATTGCTTAGAAGAAAAAGAGTACACTTAGTGCACATTTAATAAACTTTTCCTGCAGCGGTAAGGTCTAGAACATAATATTTTGTTTATTTTTATAGTATTTTAAAATATTAAACCTATTTGACACACCTATAAATACAATTTACATTCTTTCCCATCAATATGAAGAAGCAACCTTGCAGCAGCAGGCTGATAGCATGACCAATCAAATAGCAGAGAGCTTTTCTCAAAATAGCAACATCCTGGTCAAAACCACCAACAAAAACACCCAGTAAGAACGAGCCTGTGGTGACTGTTAAAAGTATCTCATTACACTTGTTATATGTCATCTCCGGGGTTATTTGGAGCTGTCATTAACTCCTCTGTGCTTGTACTCCCCCAACTTCTCCCCCCAACCCCATTTGAGGCCAGGTGGCTCTGTACTGGTTGCAGGGTTAAGTTATAGGAACAGCTCATGTACGTGAAGATAAAGGAGTATGCACCTTGCACAGAAGGGACCCAAATTTGCTGTAATATTTCTGGAAAGCAAAGTGAAAGACAAGAAATTGTACCTTATCCAGCAACTTCTGAGCTTTCTCTCCCGGCAGCAACCGTAGGCCAGCTGTGGCTTTCAGGACCAGAGGAGTAAACTTCCACAGCTCCATAGGAACTTCCTTTTTCGCCACCTCCAGGAGCTCTTTTATTCCCTGGCCACTCTGTGAGCAGAGAAAGAACAAAAAAAAAAATATAAAAAGGCATCTTAGAAACTCTTCAGATTTGCCTTTCTTGGAAGGGCAAAAAGGGTGATCAGAGGTATGACTCACTGTCTATGCGGAACAGAGACAAGTGAATATCACGAGGGGTCAGGAGAAGGTGGAGGACTCACTGCCTCCTGAATTGTGAGACCTGCTGGATGTAATGGGGAATATCCAGCAACAGGTCAAAAACAAACAGGAAGAGTCACTTTTTCAAACAGTCACACAGAACTCTCTGCCACTGAATGTTTTGGCTACAAAAGATTCAAAAGGCAGTACGACAAATCTTTGGGGAAAACCAAAAAAAAAGGGCCTCTGGATCCAGTAAAACACTGTGAGCTGGGTGTTAAGTCTGGCCCAGGAGGTCCCTAAATCTCTATGACCCAGAAGGTAAGGGAGACAGGAGAGAATTCACTTAGTATTTGGCCTGTTTTCCTGAGAATCCAACTCCAGCTGCTTTTAGAGCAGGTTCTGCTCCAATCCAACACCGCTCTTGTGTCACTTTCTTAAGCGCGTCAACATTCTCAAGGCAGCCATAGGAAAAACATCCACTGTGCTTAATTAACAACGTCACAGAGCAGAACGAGATGCGTTCTGTTCCTTGCTGCTGTGCACGCTGACCAGCTTTTACTGTGGGATTGTATCATGTGGAGACACTTCCCTGCACTGAGACAGTGCAGCACACTGCACCACTGCAAGATGTGATTTGCAGGACGTATCAAGAACAGGAGGGTTTGAGGCATCTACTTTTACAGTAATAGAAGCAAAATGACCTTTTCGACATCATCGGCGTAGGCGGATAGACCTGGCTTCAGCGCTTTAAACGTCTCATGGGTTAATCTGGGAGTCTCTGTTCAAAAACAGTATTCCAAAATCAGTCACGGTGCAAATAATTTTGCATACAGAAAAAGAAAACCATTTTAGAAATTACATCATTATGTTCCAGCGGAAGTCAACTGAAGCCTCTGTCTAATGAACTACCAACAGCCACTCGACCTTTAAATAAAGCCCTTGCTATGAAATTAGCTCCTGAGAAAACCACTCTGCAAACCTCAGGTGCTCCCCCCAGCCCATCACACCATACACCACACTGCTAATCCCTAAAAGCATCCTCAGATCACCTACTGACAGCAGCCACACAGGTTCTTTCATTTTTTGAGTTTCACAACTAGGAGCTGACAACACTTAAACAAATGAAGCTCACCGCTCCAGAGGAAAACTGGAGCTTTTTTGTATATTCCTGTCTCGCTTCTCAGCAATACTTTCTGTCCAGATGCAATTTCAATCAAACAGTAAAGTTTTCTAATTTAAATCCAACACTGAGGCCAAGGATGCACTAAAACAGACAACGCAGAAAGAAGCAGCTCGCTGCCAGGAATCAGAGACAGCCAACAACCTCATGGTGAAAATTTGGGGGAATAAGGCAGTTTGAATTTATAGTTCCCTCTTCCACCAAGCAGTGTGATGAAAAACTGCTCCTCTTCAAGGCACCGTTCTAAAGGTACAGCTGCTGTTTAGTTCACATTCTGGCATTACAGCATTTTCTCCTTGTTGAATATTTTCATCATTTCATCCAAACCCACATGCTTGAATGACCATACATTTCCTGATGGCTCTCTAGAAAGAGCTCAAGCCTGTTTGTTCCGAGTGATCCCTAGAAAAGAATCATCAATAATCTGCTCTAGATGTTATGGAAATGAGCAGGCCATACCTTTTGGCTGCTGTGTAAATTTAAAAATATGGATGCGAGTTCCGGTGCTTCCTGCGTCAAACATAATTCCATAAAAGACTGAGAGATCCGTGGTCAGTGCCTGATGGTTCAGTTTGTCTACCCGGCTTTCAGCAACTCCTTCTGTTGCTCCCACGACTGGTTTGGAATCCAAGTGCCATTTTATGTAGGCAACATAAAAAGCTATGCACGCCAAAATCCCAAAAGCGAAGAACCGCTTCGATATCTTCATGGCTTCCATTTATCAGATATTTTGTTTCTTCCCTTTATCAAATGTTTTATTTATTGTCCTTCGCACAGAACAGGTGGTTCCCACATTACTCCTATAACCAACAGGAAAGAAAAGATAGGCTTTATTTTCTGAACCTGCCCAAAATGATTTAGGGGTATGACGGTTATTTGATAAGGGACTTACTTGCGGGACTAAACTTGACTTGAGCACTAGTTAAATATTTAACTGTTAGTTGGTTTAATTCTGCGATAATGAAATTGGGCGTGTCAGTCAAAGTAGTAAGTCACTGGAACAAACAGCCTGGTTAAAAAAAACTTACCCACAGGGAGTGACAGACTACTGCTGGCAAGTAAATGGATTTATGCCTGAAGCTCCTTCAGTGTCTGGAGTAAGACTGAGATATCACAGCTACTGCCTTCAGCACTGAAACTTATCTCAAGTAGCCCAGGGAAACTTGTAGTTAAACACCTACATTTATTCCAGTAGGACAATGTAGAATCCTGCAGTCTAAAATCTAGGATTGCCCTGCCAATGACTTGTAGCAGCAAAATCCCTCTCTCCCATGTCACTTGTCCTAACCACCGAATGCCTCCATGGCTGCTGGATGCCTACAAGACCACACACTGCTTCCCCAATGGTTCAGAAGAAACACATCCATCCTCCTTCAGCACGTCACTGAGATCTACAGCTAATTTTAAGACACGAAGCTGCATAAATCTTCTCTTCCCCATTGTTCCTGAGCCAATGTTCCCTCCTAAGAAGGAACAGAGTAAGGAGAGTTCAAAAAAGCTTAACAGTGTAACTGAGGTGGGAAGGGACCTCAAGAGGTCTCTTATCCAACCTCCTGCTCAAAGCACAGGCACAGCTATGGGAGCCCACCACCTTGCTCAGGGATCCGAATGCATCTTGAAAACCTTTAACCACCTTGGTTGAAGGTTGAAACCTTTAAGGAAGGTCCTACAACCTCTCTGGGCAACTCGAGTCATTTACAATTATCCTTGTTAGGAGGCGGTCCCAAAAGAGTGGACAAGGGCAATTTAAAATCGGTGTTTAAAAGGCGAGATGGAAGATCCAGGGAATTAGGAGTGACCTCCCCAGCTCCAATACCAGGAAAGAAACCACAGCAAAGCACAACACAAGAGATCTACAAGCACCCACAGGACATCATCCAGATGATTAAAAAGCAGTCAGCGGTCATTCACAGGGAGCAAATCACATTATACCTTTCTTTTTTTGATAGCGTAATGAAGAAGAGAAAGCAAATCAACTGATGAAGTTGATTTAAAGGAGGTTTTGACACATATAATCTGTGGATGATACGAACTCAGGTGTATCAAGGGGGAGGAATTTAAACTCAAGGTGACTATGGTGTATTGCCAAAAACAGGTGAGATGGTATTTTATAAAAATGGAAGGAAGCAACACCTCAGGGAAAAAAACCCACGAAGAATGGATGAGTGTCGGGGAAAAGGAACCGTCATGAGGCAGAAATCAGGGAGATGGCATGGCAAAAAAAAAAAAAAAAAAAAAAAAAAAGAAAAATCTTTCCGGCTTCTATCAGCAGACTCGGGGACGTAGGAGGTAATTAGTGCACATAATACGGGGTGATTAGTTCCATCTCCCCAGTGAAGGCAGCTCCAGGAGAACCGAAAACAGGCCATGGGAGGAAAGCTGCGGGAAGCGGAGGGTCCTTTGAGGAGACAATCCTTGGAGGCCGCGGGAAAGGGACGGGGGGTAATGGAGGAGCGGCAGTCTGCCCGCCCGGACCCCCTCTGACCCCCCGTTTTCCTGAGGAGAACCGGCATCAACTCTTTCACGGGAGCCGGGCCGCGGCACAGGCCGGCGGGCAGCCCGGGCCTAGCGCAGCCCTAACACGACCCAACCCGGCCCGGCACCATCTCCGCGCCCCCTCACACACGGATCCCCGCCGCCC